GCTCTCCTCTCTGAGCAGTTTTTCAGGAGCTCTCTCCTCTCCTCTCCACAGCTGTGAAGATCAAGAAGCCCATCAAGACCAAGTTCCGCATGCCTGTGTTCAACTGGGTGGCGCTGAAACCCAACCAAATCAACGGCACCGTGTTCAACGAGATCGACGACGAGCGCATCCTCGAGGTGCCTGGAGAATCTCAGACCAGCCCCAACCCTGCCCTGTGTCCCTAAATGTCACATCCACGTGGGGTTAAATCCCTCCAGGGTGGGCATTCCAGCCCTTTCTGATGTGGAGGAATTTTCCAGATGTGCAAACAAAGCTTTGCTGGGGCACTGTGATTCCGTTTCCTTCCATCCCATCCCTGTTTCCTGGACCACATCCCGACCCCTCYGGCTGCCCAGTCCTGTCAGGGAATTGTGGAGAGGCTTCCAAAGGGACAGAGCACAGCAGGGACCTTGGGAAAGGGCTCATTCCATGTCCTGGATGCTGCCATGGATGATTTGTCCATGGCTGGATAAAGCCCTGGTGCTCACAGGGATAATTTCCGAATGTGTGCAAGGCTGTTTGGGGCTGGGTTTCTGGGATCTGGATGGATTTCCTGATCCAATCTCAGAAATTTACTCCTTCCATCCCTCAGCCCCTAATGAAATTCTCTGGATTCCAAAGCCAGGTTGGAAAAACCTGGGATGGGGGAATAGTGGGATAATCCCTGCCCATGGCAGGGGGCAGAAAGGGATGAGCTGTAAGATCCCAACCCAAACCATTCCATGATTCCACCATCCAACCTCACCTCCTGCTTCCCCTGCAGTTCTGGGTTAAGATACAGCATTCCCCACAGGATAAACCTCTTTCTTTTTTTTCTCTTTTTTTTCTCTTTTTCTCTTTTTTTTCTCTTTTTTTTCTCTTTTTTTCTCTCTTTTTTTCTCTCTTTTTCTCTCTCTTTTTCTCTCTTTTTTTCTCTCTTTTTTTTCTCCTTTTTTTCCTTTTTTTCTCTTTTTTTCTCTTTTTTTCTCTTTTTTTCTCTTTTTTTCTCTTTTTTTCTC